TAGGGCGAGGTTCACCCCTCGTCGGGGGGGGGACCGCAATCGAGGAAGCGTAAGACTCGAGTAGGCCTGGACTCGGGTTTGCCGATGCTTTTTGACGAGCGCGTCCTGGATTTTGGAGCCCGTTTCTTTATTGCTTGGGGCATGACGGGCGTCATGGCCCCCGCCTCCCCCCCCCCCCTATGACGTAACGCTCCCCCCCCCAGTGCGCTCTGGGCACTGCCGCCGTGCGCATTGGGATCGGCGTAGGTGTCCGCGTAGGAATCCGCATAGGTGTTTGGTCCGCAGGCGTCGTCGTCGTCGTCGTCGTCGTCGTCGTCGTCCGTCGTCGTCGCTCGTGGTTCGTCGCTCGTCGCTCATCGTCGTCGTGCGCGCGGACGTGGCTGGAGCCTGTTTGTAAGTCCGGGCCGATGACGGCAATCATCCGGGGGGGAGGGGGTCGATGACGTCACGTTTCGCGCCGGCGGCGTCTGGGAATGCTGAGGAATGACGGAGGACGGGTAGCACGAACATGTAGGTGGCGATATGCACCACAACGCCTGTGTACGTCACACTGCCCGCGTGCACCACAGCGCCTGTGTACACCACGCCGCCGATGTACACCACAGCAGCCGCGTGCGACACAGCGTCAGTTTGTGCCACCGTGCCTGCGGGCACAGCAGCTCTTGTGTACACCACAGCGCTTCCGTACACCACATCAGCCGTGCGCAACACAGCACCAGTGTACACCACAATGCTGCGTGAATTGCAGTGCTTGTGTACGCCACGGCGCGTGTGTGCACCACATCGGCCGTGTGCAACACAGCACCGTTGTTGTGCATAGAATTTCAGAAGGAATCCTTGTGACAAAATGGAGCGCGTGTGGATTCCAGAGAAAACAATGGGAAACAAATCCTCATGGACGAAGGCGCGCCGCTGGAGTCTAAGAGTCCCCCCGAGTCCGCCCGCATCACCCTAACTCCCATTTGCGTCCAGGAGGCTCCAGCTAAACTGGCCGCCCGAGAACCAAGTGGATCGATTCAATCGACCACTCTGCGGTGCACGCTGAGATGCGCACGTGCGTTGCAACGCCAAACCGCACGACAGGGGGTAAGAAGGAGGAACAAAAAGAAAAGGAGGAGGAGGACGAGGAGGACGAGGAGGACGAGGAGGAGGACGAGGAGGAGGAGGAGGAGGAGGAGGAGGTGGAGGTGGAGGGATGAGGGAAAAACGTCGCATTCGATTATCAGAACTTTCCTGGCGTGGCGTTTGGTTGTCCGCAGCAGATCCTGACGTACATGTTCCTTCTATCGGTCTTATGCACGCACGCACTGTCGTGTACACCAGCGCTGCGTTGCGCGCGGATGCTGTGGCGTACAAGCGCTGTGGCGTGCACAGGCGCTGCGGTGCAAGCAAGCACAGTGGTGCACACAGGCGTTGTGTTGCACATGGCTGCTGCGGCGTATGTACACCAGCGCTGTAGTGCTCCCAAGTATTGTGGTATACGCGGGCGGTGTGGTGCACGCGAGCGTTGTGGTGTACACAGGCGCAATGGGCAGATCGCCACCTTACATGCTGCTCGCGTCGTCGTCGTCGCTCGTCGCTCGCCGCTCGTCGCGTCGTGCGCGCGGTCGCGGCTGTGGTGCCGGAGCCACACGGCGGTTGGGGGCGTCACGTCATACCCCCCCCCCCCGCCCTCCCCCCCCCCATGACGCCCGTCATCGCCGAACATAAAGAAACGCGCTCTTGACGGTCCAGGTTTCGTGGTTCGTTTTCAGCGGGAGCTCGTGTCAAGTTTCAGAAGGGGTTGCATAATTTTCATGATGCTCCCGTCAGGCCAGCCCGAGTCCCCCGAACCCGAGCCTGACGTCTTCCCGACCCAAGCTGGTTACGCAGCGAAGGGTAATTCGAAGGCGGGAAGCGGCATGATCAGAAGTTTTGCGGCCCTCCGCGCGGATCTCTTGGATCTGCGCTGGGCCCTGCCCCTGGCGCGCTGCGCGTGCCAGGGAGGAGGGCCCGATCGGATCCAAGACATCCGCAGGGACCGTCAAAAGCTTCTGCTTATGCCGTTATGTGGCCCGTTAGTACCGGCGCCTTCCCGGAGAAGGCCCCCTCCCCAGGCTTGGCGGAGTGGCCAGACTTTTCTTGTTCTTGTTGACAGTAGGCGGCCCCTCGTCAATGGAGTTTGCCATCGGGGCTCGGACGCGGGCGGCGATGACGGGGGAGGGTGAAGGAGGAGGAGGATGACGAGGAGGGGGGAGGAGGAGGAAGAGGAGGAGGAGGAGGAGGAGGAGGAGGAGGAGGAGGAGGAGGAGGAGGAGGAGGAGGAGGAGGGAGGAGGAGGGGGAGGACGAGGAGGAGGAAGAGGAGGGAGGATGAGGAGGAGGAGGAGGACGAGGAGGAGCAGGAGGCGAAGGAGAGGAGGAGGAGGAGGAAGTGGCGGAGCAGAGGAGGAGGAGGAGGGAGGAGAAGGAGGAGGAGGAGGAGGAGGAGGAAAAGGAGGAGGAGAAGGAGGAGGAGGAGGAGGAGGAAGAGGAGGAGGAGGAGGAGGAGGAGGAGGTGGGGAATGAGGAGGGGCGGAGGAGATTGGGGCCAGCGCTGACGGGGTTAGCCAGTCCCTTGGGATCCCCCCAGGCTGACTTGAGCTTGAGAGCCGTTTCGGGACGTGTTCCCTTTCCCTTCCTCCGCTGACCTGGGTCTGGAAGCTAGCTACCGTATCGCCTTCCTGGGCTGCTCACAACATGGCGCAGGCTGACCTGGCAGGCTGACCCGGGTCAGCGCCGGCCTGGTGAGCGCGCCCCCGAAGTAGGGGGACGAGGAGGAGGGTGGGGACCAATCTACACCCAAGACGCTTCAACGAGATTGCAATCAACCCTCCCTTCAAGTTTCCTTGTCATGGAGCCCTACGAGACTTTTCCATTGCGGGAAGTGGCCCCTCAGAAAACGACCATCTGAGAATCCCGAATCGTGTCAAACCACCATTCCTGGGACGCCACGCCGTGGATCAAGAGGACTGTTGCGTTTTGACAGTGCTAAATCATAGCAGTTCGCCATTCCCGGGACATCAGCACCGTCAATCAACGTGACTGTTGTGTCCTGACGATCCTAGATCGTGCCAGAACGCCATTCCTTGGAGTTGAGCCATACAAATTCTTCAATTGCTGCAGACTTCGAAAACGAGTAAGCGCGGCGCGAAGGTGAGGGCCACATTGAAACACATAACCGCCATGTATCCGTAAACATGTGACACATTTCGAAAACGAAAAAGCGCGGCGCTGAGGCGAGAGCTACATTTTGAAAACGACCCCCCTCCATGCGTGAAGCCTGTGCCATTTTTTTGGACGAGGGCGCTCGGCGCAAAGGCGAGAGCCACATTTTGGAAGCGACCCGACCTCCAGCTGTGAATCCGTTACAACGGTTTGAGGCAACTACGCGCGGCGTCAAAGCGATGTTCTCATGTTCGAGAGACCAACCCTCCATCCGTGACTCGGCGGTTAACTTCGAAGACGAACAAGCGCGGCGCCAAGGCGAGAGCCACCTTTGCAACAGGAACCGCCCTCTATCCGTGAACATGGGACAAACTTCTAAGACGAATGTGCGCGGCCCCGAGGCGAGAGCCACATGTTAAACAACCGCACTCCCTCCATGCGTGAAGCTCTTGCGGTTTTTGAAGACGAGTGCGATCGGCGTAAAGGCGAGAGCCACATTGTGAAAGCGGCCCGCCTTCTACCCGCGAAACTGCGGCACACTTTTGAGACGAATGTGCTGGGCGCCGGGGCGCGAGCCACTAGCGATAACCGCCCGCCCTCCATCCGTAAGCTGTTGCAGCTTTCGAGCTTCAGTACAGTCGGGGCCCTGAAGAAGGAACCCTTTTCGTTGGGGAGGGGCTCCGCGTTCCTTAAGCGTTTCAAAGCGTGCCTCAGGTTTTCCTTACGTTTTCGATAGGAAGTCGAAGTTGAACTTCTGGAAAAAAAGGGGCCTCGTTCCTTGTTTAGGGTTCCTTAGGTCAACGCCCCGACTGTAACCGCCCGCCCTCCATCCGTGAAGCTGTTGCAGCTCTCAAGTTTCAGTATCACGCACCTGGCGAGGGAGTCTCCGGCGACGCGCCCCGCCCGATCTACCGACCCCTTGTGGGGTGCGGCAGGGCGCACGGGGAGGCGGGTGGGGAAGTGGGAGGAGGAGGAGGGGGAAGGAGAATGGGAGGGGGAGGAGAAGGAGGAGGAGGAGGAGGAGAAGGAGGAGGAGGAGGAGGAGGAGGAGGAGGAGGACGACAGGACCCCCCCTACCCAGGACCGTCCCCCGCCCCCAGCGGGGGAGAGATCGAAGGGACGGGGCTTCCCTTCGACTTGATCGCGACGTTGCTCGATCACCCTCTGACCAGAACGCTTGAGGTGGAGCGGCGTCGACGACGACGACGATTCAAACGGAAAAGCATCCCATACACGCCGACAGGATCGTCGGATTTCAGTTTGTTGTGCCAGAGCGCGCGAGCATGGGGGGGGCAAGGACGAAGAAGACCGCCCTGCAGGAGGCGTTCGGTGGCTTAGCTCGCACAGAAAGGCCTTTCCTAGCCATTTCTGCAGTTGCGTCCTTGAGTGCAGCCATGGCCAAATTGTGCCTGCGCCGTCCTGTGGCGTTCGCTGACAAGTGTGTGCTCGCATGGCGCGCAGTCTCCTCACTAATTCACGTGTTCATTCGGGGAACAGAGAGGACATAAAAATAAACTGTCGGAGGTCCGCGCGGGTTTCCTCGGAACGGCGCTGGGTCCCCCTTGGCGGCGCCTCCTGCGCCGCCCCTGTCGCGCTCCGCGCGCCAGGCGGGGGGGGTCCAGCGCTGATCCAAGAAGTCGCGCGGACCTCCGAACGTGTATGTTTATGCAGCTTGTTCTTCCTTCTTCAATTCGTGCGGTGCTCGCGCTTCCGCCTCTTCGGCCACGGCGGAGGTACCCTCGATGATCGGGCACGTCTCCGTGCCTCCGCGGAGGTGTGCGCGACGGGCGGGGAAAGCGGGGGCGCGTGGTGCAGGTGAGTTTGGTCGTATCATCCGCATAGAAGTGCCGGATGGCAAGTCGGTGGCGTTCGTGGAGTTCGAAGAGAAGCGCGACGCCAGCGACGCCATCCAGGAGATGCTCGCTGCATGAGCTCTCTGGAGGCACTGTCGTGATGTGTCATTTCGTATCTCGGATCGCCGAGGCCATTCACGATCGCTAAGCACCGGTAGTTGGCAAGCTTCGGGCGTCGGGGGCAACGATAGGGGGGGATAGGCATAAGGGGGGGGAACGCATCGATCCCCAATCGCCCACTGATCGCCGATAGGGGCCCGATGGCCCCAACCTGCCCAGGAAGGTACGGATTCACGATCGCAGGCCTGTCGCCGATCTATCGGCGATGCATCGCCGATTCCGTGTCGATGCGCCCCCCCCCGTATGCCTATCCCCCCCTATCGTTTCCCCTCCCCTGTGGCTGTCCCGCGGCTCTGTCGCGCGGCCGCCCCGCGCGGCCGCCCCGTGCTTCGGAGGGGCGTAAGACTCGAGTTCGCCGAAGCTCGGGATTGTTACCAGCCTGGAACATATCCCTATCCCTATGCTGGGCACCTCCTCATCACGATGCCAATCTTAGGGGTCCCCTTATTTTTTGAGGGCGAATCCCTAAGTTTGTCATCGCCTTTTGGCGTGTCAATCTTGGGGATAGGGATACGTTCGAGGCTGGTAAGACTGCCCACGGCAGGTTCGCGTCCTGTCGACCAGCGGCGACCCGAGCGCGAGCGCTCACGGTGGAACGCCGCGGGTGGCCCAGAATCGGCCAACATGGAAGGATTTTGCGATCGAGAAGCCGCCGATCGTTCGAGGCTGAACGATGGACGCGGTGCCATGAACCCACGCTGGGGTCGACACGACACGAAACCTCAGCACGCTTTTTGACGTTGCCCGGTCCGAGTCTTGCCGGTGCAGTTTTCGTGGATTGTCTGCAGTGGGAGCTCGCGTTAAGTCGGGCGTGTCCCTCTTCAGGGGGGAATATTCAGAAATAGCCAACGAATTAATATGGGGACGTTTTTTTTGAGTATTTTGTAACATTTGGTGTGAATGTTTTTTGGGGGCCATTTTGTAATATTTCGTCCAAAATCCGCCTGGAGGAGGACGCCCGACCTAAAGCTCGCGTCAAAGTTCAGGCTGGGCCTCCTCTGTTCCGTGGCGGCCCCGTCAGGCCAGCCTCGGCCAGGCGCACGGGGGCGGGGGGGAATGGGGAGGGTTAAGTCGGGCATGTCCCTCTACAGGAGCAATATTCAAAAATAGTCCAAGCATAGTCTGGGGACGATTCTTCTACTATTCTAGGGTAGTTTTGAAATACGTTTGACTATTTTTTCATTTTCGCCCAAACTCTGCATGTAGGGGGACACGCCCGACCTAAGGAGAGGGCCTCTCAGAAGCACCCCGTGCTCAGAAGGTGCGAGCCCATCTGTAGATGTCGGGTCGGCGCCTTCTTAGAAGCAGGTTGCTTCTGAGACGCCCTCCCCCCTCCCTCCACCCCCTTTGTGCGCGCTGCCAGCATTGGCGGCGAGCGATGGGGGGAAGTGAGAAGGAGAAGGCCTTCTCAGAAGGTTCCGAAGTCCCCTGGCCTCCTGAGAAGTTTTCTGAGCCTGCCCCGAAGACAGAACGAACTTCTGCGAAGGCGCGAGGGCCTCTGAGAAGTCCCGAAGCCTTCTGAGAAGGCCTTCTCCTTCTCACTTCCCAGGGCTGGACCTAAACGCTGTTTTGCTGGACTTCGGCTGTGTTTTGTTTTTCGGTTTGGCATGGAGGTACATGAAAACAGGCAGAACGAAACGAACAACAAAACGAAAACAACACGAAGCCAGCGTTTAGGTCCAGCCCTGTCACTCCCCCCCCACGCTCGCCGCCGAAACAGCTCGAGTCCTCCGAGCCCAAACCTTAGGGCGGGCATGTCCCCCTACAGGGGGATTTTGGACGACAAATAAAACAATGCCCAAACATATACAAGCATAGCCACACATACTCAAAACACCCCAGGACGTCCTCTGGTTTCTGGTGTGGGAGCGTTACGCTTTCCACAGCAAAACCATCGCAACCAAAGATACCAGGGCACCCTGGAGACAAGCAGGGTGTTTCTCGGCATGGGCTTCCACTGCAAGCCTCCTAGGGGCTAGGACGCTCTCAGACGGAACGCTCCCAGAAGGCCGCGGCGCCCGAGACATCCTCCAGAGCCGCCGGATATCAGAGATTCTCGAATTATCATCATCCGATCTTATCCTCGACCTGGCTTCGTGTTAGTTGGAGGGTCGGCCGCATCGCCAATGCATCGGCGAGGCGGCACGATGTGGTGCCCGATCTTCTCAGCGGCGATGGCGCCGTTGCATCGCTGACGTCGCTGATGCAGCGCCATCGGCGATGCATGTGCGATGTGGCGCGATGCATCGGCGCCATCTACTCGGACCCCATCCAGGAGGCCTCTGTCAGAGTAGGGAGAGGTACCGATACCGCTCCCTTTGCCTTTCATCACCGAGCGCGCTCCACTACTCGCACAGTGCCTACTCGCAAGTGTCTAACACATGTAGAAATGCCTGCCTCGATGCCGTGGAGCCTGTTTGCCTCGATGCAGTGGATCCAGGCCGTTTGTCAGCAGCTGCTTTTCGAGTCGTGGAATGTGTTTGTCTATCTCAGCCTGGGCCAAACGTACAGTAGAGGACCATGCCAAGAAACGCCCAGCTTGCCTCCAGGGTGCCCTGGGTTTCCTGTGTTTCGACGGTTTTGCAATGGAGAGCGCGACGTTCCCATAACAAAAATCAATGGACGTCCTGGGGTCTCAGGGTTGGGTTTCCTATGGAAGGTTTCTTGTGGAAGGGCCTTAAGTCGGGCCCTCTACAGGAGGAATGTCCAACAATAATCAAACGATAGTCTGGGGACGATGTTTCGAATACTTTTGAATGTTCTTGAATGTTTGTAGAAAGCTTTTTTTATTTCGCCAACAAATCCGCCTGTAGGGGGACATGCCCGACCTAAGAATGGCCTCCACTGTGCCCTGGAACAGACCCGGGAGGGGAAAAACCACACAGACACAATTAATCGTCGACTCCCAGGAAAATAATGGAAAATATGGGAAGTGGGGGGAAGACAAACGCCCAGAACATATGGGAACATATGGGGAATCCTGTGATTTGTATGCATTTATTTGTGTGTCCTTGGGCCCCTTCACAGACGCACCCAGGAGAGGGCGCCTCGGGGCCCACCTCGGGACGCCCAGCTGCTGCGTCTGGGCGCCAGGCGTGGCGGGCCCCGTGGCCGCTGCGACGCCTCCCTGGGGTTACGTCGGGCCTGTCCTTTCAAAGGAGGAATCTTCAAAGATGGTCTAAAGATAGTACGGTGATCTTTTGTTTTTTGTTGTTTTGACTTTCTTTCGTGTTTTTTGTTGGCTTTGATTTGTCGCCCAGAATCCGCTTGTAGGGGGACACGCCCGACCTGACACTGGGGTTACGGTAGGTTCGCGTCGTGTCGACCGGCGGCGTCCCCGCCGCGGGCGTTCAAGAGTGAACGCGGCCAGCGGCCCAGAATCGGCCTACATGGAACAATCGCGCGATCGAAACACCGCCGATCGTTCAAGGTTGAACGATCCGCGCGGTATCAGAAGCCAATGCCAGGTTCGTCACGACGCGAACCTGCCGTACGTCGTCCTGGGGGTACGTTTGGTCCTTCCCAAGCCTCGTGCTCGCCTGTTTGGGCCTCCTGGGAGGCCCTCGTGGCCACGGCTGGATTCGTCTCGAAGTCCTGGTCAGACCCCAGAAGAGGTCCGGGGAGTGTTTCTCCAGTCGCAGTCGCGCCTTTGAATCCTTCCTGCGACCGTCACCAGCGTTGCCGATGATAACATTGCGGATTTCTCCGTGATGCTTTTCGCGCATGTGTTCGACAACGGTGCGTTCGTCGGAGAGGGCGTTCTTGCTTTGACAGTGTAACAGCGCTTCTTCAGTCGAGAGGGTGAGGACGAGGATGAATATTCCCATGCCCTTCCAAGGGTCTCGAGCCCTAGCAAACAAGAACAAAACAAACATTCAGGCTGTGTGAAAGCTTTCAAGGTGTCACAGAGAGGCTTCAGATCAGTGGCTCGTGGGAGGCTTGTGAGAGGCTATCAAGAGGCGTTCGTCCTCCTGAGGGTTCTGTTCGAGAGGCTTCTCAAGGGCATGGCTTCTCAAGGGCATTGTCTTGCTCTGGAAAGGCGTATCGGAACCTTTCGAAAGGATACGAGACAGGCCTCTCACACGCTTTTAAGAGGTGCCTACATGGTACATGGCATTACGGAAGCGGTTGAGGAGCTTTCGGCAAGTTGTTGCTGAGAAGCTGGTGGCGGGGGTTGGGAGGCATGTTACGAAGCATTCAGTTAATGGCACCTTGTGAATCCGACGCGCGCGACTCCATGGGCGAATCTCACCGAACTAGACTCTTCCCCAGAGCGCTGTTGGGAGAACAGTGCAGAAGCGGGAGGGAGAGGGAGGGAGATGGGAGCCAAGGGAGTGAGACATCGATGCCAGACGGCACTTGTCGGTGTCGTATTGGCTGGCTACCATAACCTATCGTCCGTCTTCTTCGCATCTCAGCGCGGGGGAAGGAGAGGCGACGCGCAGGATACGCGTCACTGTCATTGCTACTGCTGCTAGTGCGACTGCCGCTACCACTAATGTTGCTACCGCCTTGCAGGTGGGAGAGTTGGGTGTAGGCTTAAGTCGGTCCTGTCCCTGTACAGGAGGAATATTCCAAAATTGTATAACAAATAGTCGGGCACGATGCTTCGACTATGTTTGACCATGTTTGAGTATTTCAGGTTTTTTATTTCCCCCCCCGGGAATCCGCCAGTAGGGGGACACGCCGACATAATGCCACCGCCAGATCAGATGAGGGATCCCCAGTTCATGGTAGGAGCCTTGCAGGTGGGAGAGTTGGGTGTGGGCAGACTTCATGAGGTTGGAGTTTCAGCAGCACAGCTGTCCTGACGACAGAGGCAAGTGAAGCACAGGGGAGAGAGTCGCGCCGTGGCTCTCGAGGGCAGCGTTTGGTGCTGGTTTTGGCTTTGGTCGTGGTGGTGATGGTGGCATCGCGGCCTTCTCTGGTCTGGACTCTGCATAAGCTCTAGCCTGTGACTACGCGAGCGCCTTCTCACCAGGCAGACTGGTGGTGGTGGTGGTGGTGGATCCGGAGCTCGTGACGATGATGCCCGCCGGCGCTCGAGCTGCTGGCGGTGATGCCTGCTGGCGCTTCCCCGTCCCAGCTTCTCGTGGCGCCTGGAAAACACTTGGATGGGACCCGAGTGTATTCGAGAATTCTGCAATACTAAAAAAAGATTGTACTAGAGAATTTAGTTCCGGATTTCGAAGTGAATAGCGTGTGTTTTGTTTGGCCAGGAATGAAGGCTAAACACAAACCACGTGAAATTCTTTACGCTTCGCGTATCCCCACCAGCCCATCTCACAGCAGCAACTCTCGCGAAGCATGCCGACAGTCGTGTTTTTCAGGCGTGTGTCCGCTTGGCCCCGCATATCTCCCCTGTTCCTCCTTCCTCCCGCCTCCTTGTACATCCTCCTTGTGGGGGGAGCGGGAGAAGGACGAGGCGAAGGAGGAGGGAGAGAAAGCGCTCCTCGTGGTTTGAGTCGTTTGGGGTTTCTCGTCCTGGTCTGAGTCGTTCGGGCCCTTCTTCCTGGTGTGAGTCGTTCGGGCTCTTCGTGGTGTGAGTCGTTCGGGCTCTTCGTCCTGGTGTGAGTCGTTCGGGCTTCTCGTGGTGTGAGTTGTCGGGCTCCTCGTCCTGGTGTGAGTCGTTCGGGCTCTTCGTGGTGTGAGTCGTTCGGGCCCCTCGTCCTGATGTGAGTCGTTCGGGCTCCTCGTGGGGCCTCTTGGGGGCCTCTTGGAGCCTCGCCTCTTGGGGCCTCTTGGGGGCCTCTTGGGGGCCTCTTGGGGGCCTCTTGGGGGCCTCTTGGGGCGTGGGGCCTCTTGGGGGCCTCTTGGGGGCCTCTTGGGGGCCTCTTGGGGCCTCGTGGGGCCTCTTGGGGGCCTCTTGGGGGCCTCTTGGGGGCCTCTTGGGGCCGCTTGGGGGCCTCTGGGGGGCCTCTTGGAGGCCTCTTGGGAGCCTCCTGGGGGCCTCTTGGGGCCATCTTGGGGCCTCTTGCGACCTCCGCAGAAGCGCGAAGGAGAGCTGTCCCTGAGAAGGACGAAATGAGCCCAAAACCTTCGTAAAATCAATGATTTTGCTATGAGGGACGAGGAGCGCTGCCCCCTCAGAAGGCCAAAATGGGGCCAAAACCATAGTAAAAGCAATGTTCGTGGCTTCGCAGAAGAGGAGAGGGTTTTTTCTCCGGCCCCCCGTCGGGGCCAGAATCCTCGTGAGGGTCGTCGTTTTTTAGGCCTCCCAGGAGTCGAAATTGACCCCCCTGACGACCCGCGGGGCGCCCTCTCCAGGCCCAGGGGGAGAGGGTAGGGGGAGGGGTAAACCCCTCCCCGAAGGGGAAGAAGGGGGGTTGAGGACAGAGAGAGCTCGCTAAACCACTCACGCCCAAAGGGCTGGTGGGATTTACTTTGTTTTTCGCTCACCGCATTGACAGAAATCCACGCACAAAATCCGCTGCAGCACGTCTGCAAAGTCGGTGCAGTGACCTCCTCCTCTTCCTCCTCCTCCTCCTCCTTCTCCTCGTCCTCCTCCTCCTCGTCGTCCTCCTCCTCCTCCTCCTCCTCCTCCTCCTCCTCCTCCTCCTCCTCCTCCTCCTCCTCCTCCTCCTCCTCCCCCCCAGCCGGCGCCCGAGGACATGGAGGGCAGAGCCATCGAGGGGAGGCGGATCGGCTGCCGCCTGGTGGAGGCACGCCCCGCCCATGCCCGCCTCCGCCGCCGACGTCCGGAGGCGGCCAAGGGGGCGGTGATGACCAGGGAGGGTGAGTGTCCTGGCGAGGGCCAGGGTAGGAGGGGAGGAGGAGGAGGAGGAGGAGGAGAGGAGGAGGAGGAGGAGGAGGAGGAGGAGGAGGAGGAGGAGGAGGAGGAGGAGGAGGAGGAGGAGGAGGAGGAGGAGGAGGAAGGAGGAGGAGGAGGAGAGGAGAGGAGGAGGGAGGAGGAGGAGGAGGAGGAGGAGGAGGAAGGAGGAGGAGAGGAGGAGGAGGAGGAGGAGGAGGAGGAGAGAGGAGGAGGAGGAGGAGGAGGAGGAGGAGGAGGAGGAGGAGGAGGAGGCCTCTTGTTTCAGTGCGTCCCCCATGCCCCTGGGCACGCGCCCCCCCCCCCCCCTCTTGGGCGCCCCCCCCGTGGCCGCCCCCCGAAAGGTCCTCGCCCTCTCCGCCGCCGCCGCAGCGGCCTCCGCCCTCGCCGCCGCCGCCGCCAGTCGTGGCCGCTCCTCGGGGGCAGCGGCAGTCTCATGTCGGGCGTGTCCCTCGACGGGAGGAATGTCCAAAAGTAGTCACGAGATAGTCAGGGGACGTAGCCACAAGCATTTTTTGTTGTTGTTTTTTGTTTCGAATGGTCGTCGACACTCCGCCTGTGCGGGGGGACGGGCCCGACCTACCGATGGTCGGCGGCGAGCCAGGGGGGGACGTGAGAAGGAGAAGGCCTTCTCAGAAGGCGGCGGGGCTTCTCAGAAGCCCTCGCGCCTTCCGAGAAGCTTGTTTCCTGTGCCTTCGGGGAGGGCTCAGGAGACTGCCGAGAAGGCCCAGGGACCTCCGAGCCTTCTGAGAAGGCCCGCCCCTGCGCACTTCCCCCCGGGGCTCGCCGCCGAGAGGAGGGGAGATCGGCTTAGGGGGGACAGCATCGACCCCGAGTCGCTCATTGATCGCCGATGGGGGTCTGTTGACCCCACCCTTGCAGTAAAACTGTATTCGATGTGTCGCGAGCAAGCCTTGTATTGCATTCGAACGTACGTGTGTCGACGTTTCGTTATCGTCAGCGCCAATGGCACTTCCCGCAGCATCTCAGCCCACGATGATGCCGCAGTTCATTTGGTGGTACAGTCGGGGCCCTGAAGAAGGAACCCTTTTGGTTGGGGAGGGGCTCCGCGTTCCTTAAGTGTTTCGCAGCTTGCCTCAGGTTTTCCTTATGTTTTCGATCGGAAATCGAAGTTTAACTCATGGAAAAAAGGGGCCTCGTTCCTTATTATGGGTTCCTTAGGTCAAGCCCCCAGCTGTACCTGTGTCGGCGGGAGGGTTTTGCAGTCAGGGTTCGGAAGCCACCGAGCTAAACCGCACCGAGCTGGACCATCGCAGAAGCGGATCGGAGTGGAGGGTGCCCCGGGGTCTACGAATAGACGCCCGCCGCGAGCGCCGACCTCTTCCGCAGGGCGGACTTCCTCCTCGCTGGCCTTTCCTTGATCTGCATCGCGCTCCGAAGCTTCGTCGCGCTTCGGACATTGAAGAGACTTCCGCCGTACCCAGGCTGCCGGTATCCGTCCTCGCAGACTTGCTCGGAGGACGAGTGATGGGGGGGCGATCACCAGGGGGGGGCAGCGAGGGCTGCAGAAAAGGAACCCTTTAGGGCCTCTAGAGGGGCCCTGTAGGTCCCCGACAGGGGCCCTGTAGGGTCCGAGAAGGGTTCTTTTCTTCCCCCACTAATTCGCGCCCAGATTGCTAATTTGCGTGTGGCCCTGCTTGTTCCGACTCGGCTTAAGTCGGGCCTGTCCCTCTACAGGAGGAACATCCAAACATAGTCCAAAGATAGCCTGGGGACGATGCTTTGATCATTGCTTCTCATTGTTGAATATTTGTTTGACAATTTTTTATGTTTCGTCCAAAATCGGCCTGTAGGGGACATGCCCGACCTAAGTCTCGGCTCGCCACCCTCGGGGGGGTTTGGGCTCTACCGGGGCTGGCGTGCCGAGCGGGCCGCGCGGCCTTCCGACACCCCCGCCCCTTGGCGGTGATCCCGCAGCACCGGACTCGCTGCCGTCTCCTCCTCCTCCTCCTTCTCCTCCTCTTCCTCCTCTCTCCTACTTCTCCTTCTCCTCTTCCTCCTTCCTCCTCCTCCTCCTCCTCCTCCTCCTCCTCCTCCTCCTCCTCCTCTACCCTCCTCTCCTCGTCCTCCTCCCTCCTCCCTCCTCCCTCCTGCCTCCTCCCTCCTCCCCCTCTCCTCCTCCTCCTCCTCCTCCTCCTCCTCCTCCTCCTCCTCCTCCTCTTCCTCCCTCTCCTCCTCGTCCTCCTCCCTCCTCCCTCCTCCCTCCTGCCTCCTGCCTCTTCCTCCCTCCTCCTCCGTCCCCTCCGTCCTCCTCACGGGCAGCGATCCCGCAGCACCAGACTCGCTGCCGTGTCCAGGCTCCGGATCTCGCGGGCCTGGGCAGTCGATTCCCTTCATGGCCGCCTTCGGTTTGGTTTTCTAGTTGCGCATGCCCCCGCCCCCCTCCACCCCCAGCGCGGGCCCCCCGGCACCTCGACCCATTCCCGGGGACTTGCTGCTTCTCATCCCGGTGACTGTCTCACTGTCCTGGGGCCCGACGTGAGGGCCCCCGGGTGCCGAACGCTGCTGCGAAGCATGCTCTGCCACCAAGGGCCGCCACGAAGGCGCGAAGCTGTTCGCGGCTCGCGGCTCGCGAGTCGCGATTTATGATCTTCCTTGCTTCCCTCTTCTCCAAGGGGGCGGGCGGCGCGAGAGCGCGAAGCTGTTCGCGCTGTGCGAAGCGCGAACACAGCTGCCCCTCTGTCTCTGCGGAGTGGTGGCACCCTCGCGAAAAATCACGACCAGAGCCCTGGACTCGGGGGCAACTATAGGGGGGGGGAATAGGCATGGGGTGGATGCATCGACCCCCAATCGCCCATTGATCGCCGATTGGGGCCCGATAGCCCCAACCTGGCCAGGAACGTGCGGATTCACTAGCGGGGGCCTGCCGCAGATTTGCCGGCGATGTATTGGAGATTTCAGGACGATGTCTCCCCCCTATGCCAGCCCCCCCGATCGTTGCCCCTCATGCAGTGGCGACCCGTGCCAAGAAACACCCTGCTTGCCTCCAGGGTGCCCTCGGTTCCTTGGGTTTCGATGGTTTTGCAGTGGACTGCGTGACGCTCCCACAGCCGAAATCAGGGGATGCTTTGGGGCCTCAGGGTTGGGTTTTCTTGTGGAAGGCTTCGTGTGGTGGAAGGCTTCGTGCTGGAGCGGTCTGTGCTGGCCCTGGGGCCCGCACGCGGGGCGAGGACGCCCGGTGTGACACCGTGGCGACGCCCAGCTCTCCCGGTCTGGCACGCTCGGGGCCCGGCCCGCCTCGCGCTCGGGGGCAGGACCTGCCGCCCAAGCTCGACCGCGGCGCGCCGAAGCACGAGGTCGGCCGCGCCGCCGTGCCCCACGAGGGGCCAGAGGCTGGAGGAGGAGGGAGGAGGACGGAGGAGGAGGAGGGGGAGGAGGAGGAGGAGGGGGAGGAGGAGGAGGAGGAGGAGGGAGGAGGAGGAGGAGGGAGGAGGAGGAGGAGGAGGAGGAGGGGAGGGGGAGGAGGAGGAGAAGGAACATATAGAGGAGAATAAGGAGGAGGAGGAGAAGGAGGAGGAGGAACATGGAGAGGGATGAGGAGGAAGAGGCGGAGGGAATATGATGATGATGATGATGATGATGATGATGATGATGATGATGATGATGATGATGATGATGATGATGATGATGATGATGATGATGATGATGATGATGATGATGATGATGATGATGATGATGATGATGATGATGAAGATGAGGATGATGATGATGATGATGATGATGATGATGATGATGATGATGATGATG